GACATTCTTCAAAGAGATGGAAAAAGCAATTACAAACTTTATATGGAAAGGAAAGAGACCCAGGATAAGCAAAGCACTGCTTAAGAATAAGAATAAGGTTGGAGGCCTGTCACTCCCCTACTTTAAAATATACTACATGGCTACAGTGGTCAAAACAGCTTGGTACTGGTACAATGGAAGGTACATAGATCAATGGAACAGAATCAACAATCCAAAAATTAACGCATCTACATACAGCCAATTGATCTTCGGCAAAACACCAAAATATGTCCCATGGGGAGAGGATAGTCTCTTCAACAGATGGTGCTGGCAGAACAGGAAAATGATATGCATAAGTCTGAAACAAGACTTTCACCTCACGCCTTATACAAAAACCAACTCAACATGGATTAAGGACCTAAATGTGAATCCCAGAATTATGAAGGTCATCAATGAAAAATTCGGGACAAACGTGAAGGCACTAATACCTACTGCTGAAGATCAAAGAACACAGCCTTCAGTTTGGGTCGTAACGCAATGTAAAGAAAACAGAAGTCCTCACCGCTGGATCAATAAACAACATTATGATAAACGGAGAAAAGACTGAAGTTGTCTAAGACTTCATTTTACTTGTATCCACTATCAACACTCATGGAATCAGCAGTCAAAAAATGAAAAGACGTAGTGCATTGAGCAAATCTGGTGCACAAGATCTCTTTAAAGTGTTCAAGAGCAACAGTGTCAGATTGAGGAGTAAAGTGTGCCTGACCCAAGCGGTGGTATTTTCAATAGCCTCATGTATATATGAAAGTTGGACAGTGAATAAGGAAGACCATAGAAGAATTGAGGCATTTGAATTATGATGTTGGAGTAAAATAATTTTTAAAACCATGGACTGCCATTTGTACTGGAAAAAGTATAGTCAGATAGCTCCTTGGAAGCCAGGAAGAGGAGACTTTGTCTCTCATATTTTGGACATATCAGGAGGGACCAGTCCCTGGAGAAAAACATCATGCTTGATAAAATGGAGGGTCAGTGAAAAAGAGGAAGATCCCCAATGAGATGGATTGCTTGCAGTAATGGGTTCAAAGGTAACAAAGTTTGTGAGGATGGCATGGAAGCGGGCAGTGCTTTATTCTGTCACGTATGTTGTTGTTAAGTACCGTGGAGTCGGTTCTGACTCATAGTACCCTTCACAGGGTTTCCGAGGCTGCAAATCTTTATGGGAGCAGAAAGCCTCATCTTTCTCCAGCGGAACAGCTGGTAGTTTCAAACTGCCGACCTCGAGGTTAGCAGCCCAATTCGTAACCACTATACTACCAGAGTCATCAAGGTCATTTTAAATCAGAAATGATTGGACGGCACCTAACAACAACAATCCTCAAGTTCAATGATCTTTCTTCTGCCATTTCCAATGTGATACTAAGCCTATCCACTGAATTTCTTCTTTCATATGTAATGATTTTCAGTTTTAGAATTACCATTTAGCTTTTTTTTACAATTTCAACTTGTTGTTGTTGTCAGGTGCCATCGAGTCGGAACCGACTCATAGCGACCCCATGTACAGCAGAATGAAACAATGCCCGATCCTGGGCCAACCTCACTACCACTGCCACACTTGAGTCCATCAATGATGCCACCTGGCCGATCCATCTCGTTGGGGGTCTTCCTCTTTTTCTCTGACCCTCCACCCTACCCAGCATGACATCCTTCTCCAACAATTGTCCAAAGTAGGAGAGACGAAGCTTAGCCATCCTGGCCTCCAAGGAGCACTCTGGTTGCACTTCTTCCAATTTCAATTACTCTGCTAAAATTCCAACATCTAGGTCTTTCCTGGGTCTGTTTTTATTGACTACTTTTTCTCTTGTAAATAGGTCACAGTTCCCTATTTCTATTAGTTTTTATAATCTGTTGGCTATTTTGAAGGATAAACTGCAAATACTATGGATTCTGCTGACTTTTGTTTGTGCTTAGTTATCATTGTGATTTGTGACCACCTTATGCAGCTAGATAAACTTGAGTTATCTTCAACTTGTGAAAGTTTGGTCTTACACTTTGTTACAGAAAGCCTAATTCCAGGGCAAAGGTTTTTCTAAGATATTATGGAGTCCTGGAGTGGCACTGTGGGTTAATGCGCTGGACTAAAAGGTAGGTTTGAACTGCAAAGTCAGTGGTTCAAGCTCACCAGTCGCTCCCTGGAAACCCTATACAGGGTCTCTATGGGTTGGAACTGACTCCATGGCACTTAACAACAACATGGAGTCCTTGTGTGGTGCTGTGGGTTAATACACTGGACTGCAAAGTTGGTTTGAACCACAAGGTCGGTGGTTCAAGTTCACCAGCCGCTCCTCAGAAATCCCATACAGGGTCGCTATTGGGCAGAACTGACTCGATGGCACTTAACAACAACAATCTTTCCAAGGATTCAATGTAAAGCCTGGGATATTTATGAAAGCTTTCTAACTTCCTGGGATTCTAACTTTGTCTGGTATGGTGCCTGGTAGTTAAAACTTTAAATGAGCATGGCCCCTTTTTCTTTTGTTTACCAAAAATTACCACAGTGCTTCCCACATATTACTCACTCAACAAGTATTTTTGGTATGAATGGGTGAACCCACAAATACAACCACTCATTTCAGTTCCATACTCCATTGAGGAAATGAACACTAGGCTATTTTTGTTATGCCACTCCTGGTAAGGTGCAGTAGGATAAACATTGGGCTGCTAACCACAAGGTCGGCAGTTCAAACCCACCACCAGCAGCTCCTCAGAAACCCTATACAGGGTCGTTATGAGTCAGAACTGACCCAACGGGACTTAACAACAACATCAACTGAGTAGTGGAACTTTAAACAACAAAAAAAGAAGAAGAAGAAAATGGGGAGGTAAAGGCACTCAACTCTATACTAAGATACAAGAGTGACAAAAGTCTGTAATAAAGACCTCGGTCATCATCATCAAGATTAAATTTAGTCTGGATTAATCATATCACTTATATTTAAAATAAAAATATATACATCTTACAAACCAGATTAACACAAACAATTGTGCTTTTCAACCATACCCAGTCAGTACTTCCCTTTACATGCATCATTCAAGCCATTGAATGATCTATGTAAATGATCATTAAAAATGAAACCTCTTTGGTATCTTTGGTCTATATAACTTTTTTTTTTTTTAATTACTCAGACCATGTTGTTCAATCCCATTCTACCCAAACAGTAAATTTTAAGTTGTTATTGTTAAGCGCTGTTGAGTCAATTCCAACCCATAGTGACCCTGTATAGGGTTTCCAAAGTTTGGTGAGCTTGAACCGCCAACCTTGCAGTTCAAACAGCTTTGCAGCCTGGCACATTAACCCACAGTGCCACACCAGGGCTCAACAACCAACTGCACAACATAACTATTAATATTAAGATGAACATAAGATAAAAGATACATTGTATTTCACTTAATTTTAACCTTCCTTTGAGACATTATTATTTCAATTTAATTCTAGATGAGGAAAGTGAAGCTCAGAGAAATGATCTGACTTGACCAAAGTAACAAACTAGTAAATGGTTGAGTTCAACTCAGTCTTTTGACTAAAGCCAGTGATCTTTCCATTATACTATAGTTCTCATGCTTATTTGAAAGTGATCTGTAAACAACAATAGGCCATTCTATTAAAAAAATCTTAATGACTTAGCCGATGTCCAGTATATTATTTATAAACATTCATCCTCCCTCCATAATATGAAGCTAAGCAGATGGGCATATTTTCATTTTAGTATGACTGATTTGGCTAAATCCAATTAAATTCATATTCAGATTATATTTATTCTCAAATTATGGTCAATAGATTTAGAACAGTTTCAAGTGTTAGATACAAAGGGAACATCTCTCCTTTTAAATACACTGAAGAACAAATTTTGAAACTCTTCGTTTTTTTTTAAGAGAACTCTTCCTCTTCCTCTCTTATATCCTTCCTCCTCTAGCCATTCACCCTACTGTTATTCTGACCGCCCACTTCCCTGTGGTTTTTATTCAGCCCACTGCTCCACTCTAGGGAGCAATGATGTGAGTACATTCAACCAGTCTGTGCAAAATTGGCACTACTTCAAATCCAAATAGAGCAATGTGTGAGCTGGACAAGAAGATATTAAAAAAAAAAAAACTTTTTTTTTTCTTTCTATGCAGAACCCACAGGGATAGACTATCTGTTCTCTAGTCACGAATTTCACCAAAGAGGAAGTCAAAGTTTGAGAGTAACAGCTTTTGGGGGAAGAAGAAAACAACAACAAGAGATCTTTGCAAGAAAAAACCGGAAACTTCCTGTATGGATTGAGCTATTTTTAACAGTGGAGAAAGTCTGGGCGGTAACCTCTCATCCTAGAATTTACAAGGTTCTGGGTGGAGACTGATATAGAACCAACAACTACAGAACACCTTAAATGGACTCACAGAGGTTCCCCTTTCCTGGGTCCCGATCTCCTACTCAGCTGGATTGTCCAGCGCTAAACTCTCCCCCTTCTCTCTTTTCCCATCCCAGACTGACTCCTTCCCTATCCTTCCCCGGGACAAGGAAAGGCATCCCCAAACCAAGGAGGTCTTTCTTTGTGGTAGGTTTGCTTCCTACTGCACTCTCACAAGTTCAAGTTCAAGTTCCTCTCATAGATTCGGTGCCCTTTCCCAGGCATGGAAGTCTCTTCAGCCCTGTCCCACACCCGTATCTGTGCATCCTCCCAAGTGCCCTTAATCCTTGGATCCGCGCCGCCCTTTAACGCCCCCTCTCTCTGATCCACACGTGTTCTCAGGCCCACGCCCCCCTCCGGCCGCCTCGCTCTCAGCCCCACGACCCTCACCTGGAGCCTGCTCGCCACGCCGATCTGCGTCTGCTGCACGAATGGGTTGGGCACCGGCGGCGGGAAGAAGGACGCCTGGCGAGGCACCATGGGCGGCCGCAGCCCCGCATCTCCGACGCCCGCGCCGGGCACCGTGGCCGCCACGGCCGCCGCTTCGGCACATCGGTTCATGGCTGAGCCAGAGTTCGGGCCGACCGAACGAGTGACGTGGAGCGCGGGAGAGAGAGTCACAACCGAGCTGGAGCTGGGACCACGAAGGCGTCGGATCCCCCGGGGAAACCCAGCTTGGGGCGCTGCTCGGGGACCTCTGCGCAGGCGCCAGAGTTACCTAGATGCCAGGCTGAGCTGGCCCCGCCCACGGGCGCTGACTTCACCCCAGGCTCCAGCCTCACCCCCGGAGCGCTAACCCCAACCTTTTGGTTACCTGGCTCTTCTTACTTTGCTAATATAGCTCTGCCCCATGGATGTGGATGCCTTTCTATTAGAACAATCATCCTAAGAATACCTGGGTATCCCCATCAGTCCAATGAGAAGCAGGTGAAGCTGAATTCTACTTTATAAACGAACCACCGACCATCTAGTGGATTCTGACTCATAGCCACCCCTACATAGGGTTTTGAAGGCTGCAAATCTTTATGGGTGCAGAAAGCCTCCTCTTTCTCCCACAGAGGGGCTGGTGGATTTGAACTGCTACACCTTGTCTCAGGAATTGCCTAGATCTTCTTGCTGAGGTCTCTGTCTGCCACTTCTTTTCCTCTGTCCTTCCCTCCTCCTGGATTTAGACAGAAACCTTTGATGGTGGGTGAAAGTCTCAGAGCAGCAGAGAGGCTGGACCAAAGGCCAGAGTTTTTGCCTTCGTAGGACGTTAGCCATACCACCTAACACTGTCTTTATTCCTCATTCCTCAGTTTTTGCGCCCCACCCCCCTCCCCTGCAATTCAAGCCATTTGACATGGAATCAACTTGGATTCACGGTGATCTCATGTGTCAGTGTAGAATTAGGCCCATAGAGTTTCAAATGGCCGCTTTTGTGGAGTAGATCATCGTGCATTCCTTCTGAGGACCTCTGGCTGAACTTCACTGCCAAGCTTTTAGTTAGCTGTCAGGCAAGTTAAATCATTTGCATTACCCACAGGCAAGTACTCTTCAAACTACAGCCCTTATAAAACTTCACTTTTCCATCACTGCAACTGAAAAAATAGAAAGCCCTATAAAGTGGACTTATGAGCCCAATGGAGTCCTGGTATGGTGCTGTAAGATAAGCACTGGACTGCAAGGTCAGTTAGTGGTTCAGTGCTTATCCTTCAGAGCCATAGTGGAGGTGTTTTATACCAACCTAGTGGGTGCTTTTGGAGTCCTGGTGTGGTACTGTAGGATAAGCACTGGACTGCAATATCAACTTGAACTATAAGGTCAGTGGTTCAAATCCACCAGCCACTCCTTGGAAACCCTATATAGGGTAGTTATAAGTCAGAACCAACTCAACAGCACCAACCACCACCAGACTTTAGGACTCACGCAACTTAAAAATGGGTTGTTCCATTAACTAACATATTGAGGGTTTTATCTGTTTGATTTCCAGTGTGTGTTTTAGTTTTGCTTAAACCACTTTGAGTTCAGTCACCATCCTTTATAGCTAAGAGTGTTGACTAGTATAGAAATTGGTACCAGGAGTGGAATTGTCTCACTCAATATGAACTATGAGTGATGAGATGATGTTCCAAAGGAATATTGAACTATTACCCGAAAAAGGCAAAAACAACAGATGCTTTCCACACCGGATGGGGAACCTGGCTCCGAAAGGGGAAATTACTTGGGCTGTGGTTCCATTTCACCCTGGGGAAATTTCAAGGGCCTGTCTTGTCATGAGTGGGGGAGGGGACTCAGGGGTTATCCCAGGATCTAAGAGCAGCTGGTCAAGCCCTAACCGTGGCTGACTATCAGAGGATGGAGGTAGTGACAAACACTCATTACTGGTTAAGTCTGTTCACTGGGCAGGCTAGAGGCTGAGTCTGGGTCCCAGGACAGCTGCTTGTCCAATGTAGTCTCATAATCTCCTAAACCAACCAAACCATGGTGTGACCTTAACCTTTCGGAGCTTGTTTCTTCATCTAGGAACTGGGAGAAGAGTAATTCCTACACTAAAGGGTTGTGACCACCTGGCTGTGTGCCAAGTTGGTTCCAACTTAGAGGGACCCCACATATGCTTCCCAAAGCTGCAAATCTTTACTGGAGTGAAATGTGTCATCTTTTTCCCTTGGAGCACCTATGTACTCAAACTGTCAATCTTGTGGTTAGCAGTGCAATGCACAGCCCACTATGCCACAAGAGATCACGTTGTGGTGCTGTCATCGATTTCTGAGGAGCAGCTTGGTGAGTTCGAACAACTGATCCTGTGGTTTACATTCCCGTGCTGATCCTACAGAGCTACAACAGAATTCATAAATGCATGTGCAGTATTTATAGACTGCCCAGGAGAAATCATACCTTTTAGTTGTGTTGTAGAACATATGGGTTTTCTTTCAGCGTAGCAAAGGACCTTGTTTTGGGGTGCTGTGAGTCGATTCTATCTCATAGTGACACGATATGAGAGTAGAACTGGCGTTTACTTGGCCATAATCTACGGAAGCAGAGTAACTGAGTGGGTTTAGTTAGTATGCAAGCACTTAACCGTTGCTTCTTGCAGAGACCCTTACTAATAGTGTATTAAAGCCATGGCATGGAGTCCTGGTGTGGCGCTGCAGGAAAATGTGCTGGACCTCAAGGTCAGTTTGAACTCAGAGTTGGTGGTTCAAACCCACCAACTGCTCCTTGGAAATCTATACAGGGTCGCTATGGGTCAGAACCGACTTGATGGCACTTTACAACCACAATAAAGTCATGAGATAAACTTCCTCAAGGACGTGAGCAGACCTTTGTAACTTCAGTCTGATACTTGCACAGCTTTATCTAGGGTACTAAAGGACATGAGCCAGTGAGCAGGACACAGAAAATGAATCTAAACCCATTGACTGAAGTCATCTCCAGAGTCCTGTCCACTCTTCACCCCCATCTGTACCAGAGCTGGAAGGAGTCTTTAAAAAACGGCTATGCTATAATTCTCAGTTCAGAACCCTCAGAATTCCACGAGGGGTTAGTGGTGTGCCGTCTGGGTGGCTGGGGTCACGGAGCTCATATTTTAATAGAAGCTATGTTTGGAGTCCTGGTGTGGCGCTGTGGATTAATGCGCCAGACTGCAAAGCCGTTTGAACTGCAAGGTCAAGCTCACCAGCTACTCCTTGGAAACCCTATACAGGGTCGCTATGGGTTGGAACCGACTCAATGGCACTTAACAAATGTCTGGAGAGCAAGCACTCCTTTCTCCCCTAGGTATACTGACTTTGGGTGTCTTTCGTAATGGAGACAGGGAATGGTGTTGGTGATGGGTCATGGGCTGAAGCTCCTCCTCTTGGTCACCCATTTGCCTTGACTTGGGCTCTGTTACCTAATAGCTATGGGACCCTGGGGACATCACTGCTCTTTTAAGTTTTCTCATCTAAAAAATTCTGTTGAAACGACCTCCCTCTTTAGGTGAAATAAAGTGATCCCATAAAGTGTGTGGCACAGAAGGAGCACCCTTTTAACAGGAGAGGATGGGCTAGGGGAGGAGGACAGTTTCCAGTGAGGTGACGCTGACTCATGTTGACTACATGTGTAGTCAGATAGTCTGTGCTCCATACGGTTTTCAGTGGTTGCATTCTGAGAAGTAAACCTCTAGGTCTTCCTTCCCAGTCACCTTTGGGCAGATTCAAACCACCAACCTTTTGGCTAGTGGACAAGTGCATTATCATTTGCACCATACAGGGACTCCTTATTAACGGGGAAGGGGTGTTATGGTTGCTGGGTATTGTTATTAATAGAAGCATTAGAATCAGTGTTGTTGGGAACAAAGAACTGAGATAGAGATAGAGATAGAGAGAGAGAGAGAGAGAGAGAGAGGGAGGGAGGGAGGGAGGGAGGGAGAGAAACATCTTGTTCTGGACTCCACAGCTCAAGTAACTGAAATGCTAATTGTCTGGGGGGGGGGGTCTTTCCCCACAGCAGAGGGGTTCCAGCTCACCTACCCTGATCGCTTTCTGGTAGCTCTGACCTTCTCAGCAGAGGTCACACTGTGCTTGCAAGGAAGCAGAGATGCAGCCCTTTCCGATTTTCTTTAGTGAATAGGCCTGTAGGCCCTCTTTACGTTTTGCGAAAACAGCTGGCAGAGGCGGCCACTCAAATAGTGTCTTTATTCATCCTTGTTGACATTTCCCATGGGGAATTGTTGAAGGGAGAGAAGGGAAGGGCTTAGTAAGAGTCATGGCTTGGTCTTCCTTCATCCAGTGGAGGAAGTGATGGGGTAGGGAACCAATGTCATATGGGCTGAAATGCATGGGGCAGTGACTTCAGACGACCTGAGTCCTCCTGTCAGGAAATGCACATTCCCAAGTGGAAAAACAAAAAGGTCAAAATAAAAAAAGTGCACATAAAGCAAACAGCTAATGTCTGGAAGGTCCTAAGGCACAGCCAGCAGTAAGAAGCCAGGTGTCTGGGGTGGCCACCTGGCCATGCCCCTAACCCACTGTCCCATGCCAGGCCAGGCTGTCGGGCCACCAGTGGCCTCTTGAGACAGTCTCTGTTGTCTCCAAGAGTGCTGAGAGCCACAGAAAGTTGTGGAGAGAAAAGACCCGGATGTGGGGGGAGCACCAGGGCAGCCCAAGGCAGGGCTGCGTTGACAATATCAAAGCATCTCTTTGGGGTGGGTCTAGAGGGCTGGGAGGATTGAAGGGAGAAGGAGAACTGGAATGGGTCTAGTCAGCATCTTTCCTTGGGCCTGGGGTGGGGCTGCGCTCCTGAATCTTAAATTACCAGGTGGAGGTGAGAATGCTGATTAGCTACAGAGCTGGAGGTGGGGTTGCCAGGCCCAGCAGGGTCCTTCCCTGAGGCCTGCAGGAGCCACCCGCCAGCTCAGCAGCCCAGCCAGTCAGACTTGATGCTTCCAAACTTGACACTCTTCAGACTTTGGTTCTCCAGCTTCAAGTAATAGGATCCCTTGAAGAAGTAGCTGTGACCTAAGACAGAGAAAGGAGAGTGGTTGTGAGCACCCCATCTTTAGGAAGCCTGGTGCACGCAGGGCTCCTGGGAGCTTCGAATGTCTGCCTGGCATAGGGAAGAAGATTTCAAACTAGAGGGAAGCCCTCTGGGGCTGGATGAGGGGCAATAACAGCAAAGTAACTTCTTGCAAGTTACTGATTCCTCTGTTCTAAAATGAGAGTAAAGCTATCAGCTTTGTAAGGCTTGTGGTAGGGATTAAAGTAGATTATGCATGCTGATGGTAATAATAGTACCAGCACTCCATTTAGCACAAGTACCTGATGTATATCAGTGTGGTGAACCCAGGCGCTTAGACCCAAAGATAAGTTTCATCTGACTTATCTGGTGCTATCCAGTTGGTTCCATTCTTGAACTGCCCAACAGTGTGGTGCTGTAGGATAAACACTTACTTGACTGTTAAACATGAGGTTGGTGGTTCAAACCCACCAGCCACTCCTTGGAAACCCTACAGGGCAGTTATGAGTCAGAACTGACTCGACGGCACTTAACAACCACAGCAACAATCTTTCAGAAGCAGATCGCAACATCCTTTTCCCACGGAGCAACTGGGGGATTCAACACAGCCTAATGCTTAATCACTGAGCTACCAGGCCAACAGTATTTGGTTTACAGTTTTTTGTTGTTGTTTTACTCTATTTTAATTCTGAGAAAGTTGCTAACATGTAAACATCTGGAAATTTCACATGACAATACAGAATTCTGGCTTCTCATTTAAAGCAGCTAGAATAGCTAACAATGCTGGGCCCACCTTCTTGCAAAGATGCACCAAACAGAAGCCGAGAAGAAACATCCCCTGTGGATGTGCTCTCTGGTTCACCACAGACACCACCATTCCCTACTGTTTGTCTCTACCTGCTTCATTCATTTGTGATATGTGCCTGGCCTCTTGAGGATTTGGAATTTATGACTCTTGTAAATGGATTCCTGGTGTGGTGGTGTGGGTTAATGCGCCTGCAAAGCCATTTGAACTGCAAGGTCGGTGGTTCAAGCTCACCAGCTGCTCCTCAGAAACCACATACAGGGTGGCTATGGGTTGGAATAGACTTGACGACACTTATCAACAATTGTTGTTAAAGGAGTCCTGGTGTGGTGCTGTGGGCTAATGCGCTGGGCTGCAAAGTCGTTTGAACCATAAAGTCGGTGGTTCAAGCTCACCAGCTGCTCCTTGGAAACCTTATACGGGGGGTCACTATAAGTTGGAAATGACTCGACAGCACTCAACAACAACGACAAATTGTTGTTAAACTGCCACTCGTCTGTCTGTCAGTTTGTTGTACTCTGGAGGCTTGAGTGTTGCTGTGATTTTGGAAGCTATGCTACCATTATTTTAAATAGAATTTAAAACGAACAATTGTTATTAAATACCATCAAGCTGGTTCCAAGGAGTGAGTGGCTGGTGGGTTTGAACTGTCAACCTTGCAGTTAGTAGTCCAGTGCTTACCCGACGACAGTGCCACACCAGGACTCCTGTTACACCTAAAATGAGCCCTTGTGGGCTAGGCGTTGGGCTGCTAACTGAAGGTCAGTGGTTCAAATCCACCAGGCACTCCTCAGGAGAAAGATGAGGCTGTCAGCTCCTGTAAAGATTTAGTCTTGGAAACCCTATGCATCTCAGTTGTCATGAGTCAGACTCAACTCGATGGCAATGAGTTTGATGTTCCGGTTTTTGACATACATAATCTTATTTACTTCTTTTAAAATATGGCACATTATAAATAATCATTAAGGTTTATTATTAAAGATAATCCTTTATATAGTCCCAAGATTATACATTGAATTTTTCTGAATGCTGTATAGCTACTGGAGGTCAAGGCTCTATCTTTAACATTTGATATGGGCTTAAAAATATTTGTGGAACTTAATTGAATTCTCCTCTAAAAAAGCCAAAAACCAGACTCATTTCCAGATTCCTTAAGAACTCACAGAAAGGATGTGGCCCTCAACTTCCAAATTTGATCCTTCACGGATACTGGCTCTGCTTTATTTAACAAGGACTACGAGTCCTGGTGTGGCGCTGTGGGATAATGCGCCAGACTGCAAAGCTGTTTGAACTGTGCGGTTGGCAGTTCAAGCTTACCAGTCACTCCTTGGAAACCCTATACAGGGTCGCTGTGGGTCGGAACCCACTTGATGGCACTTCATAACAACAACAGGAGCAAACTGAGTTAAGTGGGTAATCTTTGCAATATCAGCAAAAGAGCACAACAAAGTTTGTTCTGTCTCAAGTAGAGACATCCTTCTGCTGATCCTTCAGCTAATAGGAGGAGGCAGTCACCAAGCCGCCTGTGGAATCAAAAAGGCCAGAGTTAAACACCAGAATGAATCCAGGGCATGCGGCCCATGTTCTCGCCCCTGCAGGCCTCCTCCTGCCCTCCCCCTCTCTGGCTCTAGGCCCAGCATCTGTGAGGGGCCTTTCTGGGTCTTACTGCCTGGAGCTGGGCCGAGGAGTAGAGGTCAGGGGCTGGACCGCTGCCCAGCACCCAGCTAAAGGGGCCGGCTTGTTTTTCTGGGACTGCTACAGCTTTCCGCACACAATGAGGGAGTGTGTGCTTGTGAGGAGCCAGGCCCTGGCTGGAGGAGGGGAGTCCTAGAAAGAGGAGAGAGGTCTGGGTAGCTTACCTCCACCTGGCAGATCCAAAACGGCGTCCAGATTATCAGGGATGGCGTTCCAGGCATCTGCGATGAGTTTAGGGAAGCCAGGATCCATCTTCTTCTTCACTTCATTGTATCTGCAAGGAAATGGACATGGTGAGACAGAGGCCTCTCTAAAGGCCATTCCTCAATGTCTGGCATGGGGGTGGTCCAGCAGATGGGTACTGGGTAGATTTGGAAGCCAGATCTGGGTCTGAGTCCCAGCTTGACCACTTAGTAATTTTGATTGTGCATGTGACTTTGGACAATCACATCAAAACAATCTTGCAACAACAGCTCACATTTAGGGAAGGCTTTCAACATGCCAGGCAGTGTGTTAAGCACTTTCTCATTCTTTGACATTCCTATGACCTGATATTATCATAATGCCATTTTACAGAGCAGAGTCCTAGAAAGGAACCCAGTTTCCAAGTACTAGTGCAAGTCAGACCTGTCTGGCTCTAGGGCAGCCATGCTACCCACGCCTCAGTTTTACCAGTTGTAAAATGGGGTTATTGCATGAATTAAAAAAGTTAGGAGATAGATAAATAACTGCTGTCAAGTCAACTCCAGTAGAATGAAATGCTGCCCAGTCATAATTGTCAGTTCATTTCAGTCCACTGTTGTGCCCATCTATCGCTCCAAAGGTCTCCCTCGGCCTCACTGAGCTCCTACCTCACCAAGCATGTCCTGATGATGTCTCCGCAGCAAATGAGTTGAACCATATTCTGTAGTGATCTATAAGGTTTTCACTGGCTCACTTTCGGAAGTAGATCACGCAGACTTTCTTTTCTTGCAAATTAAATGAAAATAGTATGTGCACAGTACCTAACCCATGCCTAGCCCTTAGTATGAGGAGAGATTTCAGGAATGTTAGTTTCCTTACAGACTTTGATCCCAGACTAGAACCCAAGGGGCAGGGTCCTTCTTCTCCATCACTCTCACTGTGGTTTCTTCATCTGTTGAGTACAGCCCTGTTCTGCTGACTCCTAGAAAACCATCATGACTGGGAAAATGACGTCATGATGCAGGGGTGTGTGTGACTCTACCAGGTCTATTAGTCACAGGGTGGACCAGCTGCCACCTCAGTCCCGGCTACAGCTCTCAAGTTTGTGTAGGGATCCTGCACCCCTCCCTTACTTCCGGCTAATACCTTGGGCGTGAGCTAGCATGTTCCTCTCCCTGGCTAGCAATCCTTATACCTGTGGTTTTTTTTTTAGAGACCTGTTTAAATGTTGCTGTTATTTTTCATACTTTTGCTTTTCCACTTCTTCTATTTGTCAGTCTATAAATATTTAATGTTGTTGTTAAGCGCTCTCCAGTCAGTTTTGACCCACAGCTATCCTATATAGGGTTTCCAAGGAGCAGCTGGTAAGTTTGAACCACTGACTCTGCAGTTCAAACCAACTCTGCAGTCCAGCCCATGAGCCCACAGAGCCACATGAAATCAAACGACGCATCGCATTAGACAAATGTGCTGCAGAAGACCTCTTTATAGTGTCCAAGAGCAAAGATGTCACTTTGAGGAATAAGGTGCGCCTGGTTATTGAAAATACCCAGCCATGGTATTTTCAATAACCTCATATGCATGTGAAAGTTGGACAGTGAGTAAGGAAGACCATAGAAGAATTGATGCATTTGAGTTACGGTGTTGGAGAAGAGTACTTAAAGTAGCTCGGATTGCCAGAAAAACAAACCAATCTGTGTTGGAAGAAGTACAGCCAGAATGTGACTTATAAGCCAGGATGGCCAGACTTCGTCTCCCATACTTCGGACATATTATCAGGATGAGCCAGTCCCTGGAGAAGGCCATCATGCTTGGTAAAATGGAGTCAGCCAGTGGAAGTCAATGAGATGATTTCTCACAGTGACAACAGCAGTGGGCTCAGTGTCATCTGTGAGGATGGCACATGACCAGGCAGTGCTTACTGCTGTTGCGCACAGGCTCACGATGAATCGGAACCGACTCAATGGCAAACAGCAATATGCCTGCGGAATCATGGTGAGCAAGATAAAGTCTGCCCTTGTGGAGCTGATTTTCTAGATAACTGTGCTTGATCCCGTTCTCATAGTTGGCTCTGAACTCCAGCGACAGTCCCCCCTGCCCTCCATGAGCTCCCTGCCATGCCCCTCACCCTTAGCCCTAGCTGTAGCATAAGACTTTTCTTACAAAATCTACCACACTTCTTCATGAAGTGAGTCACCACCAAATTCAAGATCCCCAGCTCAAAACCCAACACTCCCACCCATGTCACCACCACTGAACCCTCAAACTACACTCCTAGAGTTCTCATGGTTCAGAGGTATGTTGCCCCATCACTGAACTTCCCCTAAGTTTCTTCGAATTTTACCCCATTTTACACATGAGGAAACTGAGGGTCAGAGAGTGTCATGGTATCAGAGACGTTAGCCCTGAAGGGGATTCCTCTTTTCACTTGCTCTCGGGCCCCTAGTCTCCTCCTTGCTGGTGCAGTTCTGAAATGGTGTCCCTGAGACACCCTCTGCACTTTGCCGCAGCCAGAGGATGCAACGTAGAGCAAATATTGCAAACACAGGCATTTGTGTCCCAGTTTTTCCACGTATGTGTCCTTGAGCCATTTCAGCCTGTGTCCACACCTAGAAAATGGGCCTAATAGTAGTTATCTATTAAACGAGAAATACAGGTGAGGCACCAAGCTTAAAGCTTGAGACATGGTCCAGGTCTACTTAATGACAGTTTATTATTGGTTGTTTCCTGAGGGCAGGGGATGACCACTGTCTCTCCAGTACCAAGCTAAGTGCCTAGTGTATAGATGTTGAATAAATATTTGTGCGCACAGCGGGATTTTTCCCAAAAGCAGGGGCTGAGGTCCGTCCTCAATTATTCCAAACTCTCCCTTTCCATCCAACAAGGATGCCTTAAGGCTCACTGTTATAGTTGTTCTTGTTAAGTGCTGTTGAATCCGTTCTGACCCACAGCGACAGAATGGTTATGAGCCACATGCACACGGATGCATCACCCTTGGGTGGCTCTTCAGAGGGACTATGGCCCTGGTAGGCTAGAGCCAAGGGGCATGAGGTCAAAACGTGCCCCTCCCTTACCTCCAGAACTTGTTATCAGCAAAGATATACGTCTTCTTATTCTTGCTCCAGTTAAAGGCAGCATCCACTCGTTGGACGTCAGATGGCAGCCCTAGGCTGGTCAGCGGCTTAGGGTACCCACGCTCCAGGGTGCTGGCGGAATAGATCCAGTATTCATTCCCTAGGGTAGAAGCAAAGAGACATGCTGAAATCTCCCCGGACACCCTGTTCCTCACCCTGAAGTCACTTTCAGCAGGCACACTGGTCCCTGCTCACTGCATGTACTCAGAGAATGAATCACACTGTGATTCTAAAGAGAGGTGACAGACAGCCAAGAAGAGGAGAAGAGGGGAAGACATCTAGCTCACTGTACACTAAGGGTTTACCAGAAAGAGGCACCTTCTCCTAATTGGCACAAAGGTGCCCTGGGGACTAGCAGCTCCTCTGGCCAGAGCCCATGAGATATGGGCAGAGGGTTTAGAAGGTCTCAGAACAGAGAATAATGGACAGGGATGGAGATATGGGGAGCTGGTTGGGTGGAACAACATGTACTCAGTCTTGGTTGTGCCTCAGTTCCTCTAGGAAGCCTTCCCGGTACCCCAACTATGACCAGGCCCCACCTCAGTCAGCCCTCTTACTGCACCCCTATCAATGGCTTGACTCCCTCACAAGTCTGTGAGCTTCATCAAGGCAGCTCCCTGCTAAACCCAGCGCATGGGAGATGCTCATAGAAGCTCTGCAACTGCACTAAGCTCTCCGTCACATGGCGCCCTCTTGTGTTTCAGAGAAGAACTGCTCCACAGGTGTTCCTAGGCAGTGATCTTTACAGAAGCAGCTCGCTAGGCCTGCGTGGATATAAACTGCCAATCTTTAGGTTAGTGGCCCAGAGCAAATTGTTGGGCCACCCAGGCTCCTATGTGTATATATGTGTGTGTGTGTCTATACATACATACATACATACATACATACATACATATATATGTATGTATATACACACACACACACAACCTTGATGATTTTTATCACTTTGAGATTCTCTTTGTATCATTACTGACTTAATTATTTTGCTTTCTATAAATTCATTTGGAAACTTTAAAGATAAATTGATTTTTTAAAATTAAAAATGTAAATAAATGACTTTAAAAAAATTACAACTAAAGAAACAGAAACAAAACTCTAAAGTTCTGGCCTGTCAAAACCTCTAGCATTAGAAAGGTCAGAAACATATAGACACTAAACTGAGACTTTTCTTCTAGACACAGGATTGGCTTGGAAAGGAAATGAGATGTTCGCACTGGATTGACACTATTTGATGGTGGATTTCTGACCCATCCTCTCAGGAGAACTCAACACTTTGGAAGGATTCAAACAGAATGAGTGGTCCCCTGAGGAGTGGGATTATTCACAGGTGCAGTGGACCCTCCCATATATCTGCAAGGAGCCCTGGTGTGGTGCTGCAGGTTAATGCACTGGACTGCAACGTTGGTGGTTCAAGCTCACGAAACCTCACCCAGGGTTGCTATGGGCACTTAACAACAGTAACAACCTACCTGCAAAGAACACAGTCTTCTCCTCCTGTGGGTCCTCGTATACAGCATCGATCTTTTCCGGGAGTTGAGGCCAGAATGTGGCCACCAGCAGAGGCCCCATGGGCTTGTCACGTGGTGTCACGGTCCGCCAAATGAACCTGGGAAAGAAGAGGACACAGGAAACCACATCTTCCGTCACCCTGCAGCACTGACCACTGAAGACACCTTCCAGCAATGATCCTACGGGGCGACGGTGTGGCAGGGATGAGACGGACCAGAGAAAGAGCAGAGTCCCCTTCTGCAAAGTGCCAGCACTGAGAAGCAACCACCTTGCTTTCCCCACCGCCTCCATGAAGCATTCCCTGGCTGATTATGTTCATACTGTGAGCTCCCTCCTCTAAGCCTTTCAAGGTCACTGCTGTTATTGTTGTTCAAGTTGGTTCCAACTTACAGTGACCCTGTAAAGGATTTCCGAGGAAGGGCTGCTGAGTTTGAACTGCCAGCCTTGTGGCCCAGTGCTTATCCTACAGCACCACACCAGGACTCCCTCAAGATCATTAACACTGAGCAGAGGAAAAAAAGTCTTCTCTCTTCTACTGGATTAAAAGTCACTTGAGGCAGGGGTTAATGGTGCTCAAAAGAGCATTTCCTAAATTGAAATGGAATGGATCCATGCCATCTGGTGAGAGAAGAGCACTCATGCAATCAGGGACTATGAACTGGCAAGCACTCTATGTACTGTGTCTCATTTAATCCTCACATTACAGGAAGAGGACTTACATGGGTGGTCTAGCGGCATCCTTTTCCCCACCCTCCTTTCTACAGAAGCCCACATCACATTTATGATCTCTCCTTCTCCCTGGTTGACTCTGCCCTTTGGTACTCCGTCTCAGCCATTGGTTGTCAAATAAATTGTGGTCCTCAGAGCAACATCAGCATCAGCAGCTGGGAATACCTGTGCTGGGGTGCTGCCACAGAGCCTTGGCATCTCTTCAATGCTGGTTGGGCTATTCAAAGCCAGATGGCATCTGACTTCGCAGTACATTTTGAGTCTCCTACCTCTCTGCACCAAAGCCCCTAATGCAGTGTCTGGAGGAGAGGACGCCCTGCACAGAAGTTTGTGGACCATCTGTTTCTCCCTGTATATACCACCAACTTTCACATTTCTATGCCTTTGCTCTCACGGTTCCTTCTGTCTCAGTCACCTTCTAAACCGATCCCTCTTTACGTTCATCAGTCTTGCTTACATGCTACTTCATCTGTGACGCCTTCCTTGATTCACTGTTATAGTTCAGTGCCATCTTGTCAGAGCCCAACACATAGCGACCCTATATGCAACCGAATCCAACACTGCTCCATCCTCACAACTGCAATGTGTGAGCCCATTGTCACTGCTACTGCGTCAGTCCATCTCATTGGGTGTCTTTTTATTGACTCTCTATCAAAAATGATGTGTTTTTTTTTTTCCAGGGACTGGTCTCTCCTGCTAACTTGTCCAAAGTATGTGAGACAAGTCTAGTCATCCTCACTTCTAAGAAGCATTCTGGCTGTTACTTCTTCCAACATAGATTTAATTGTTCTTCTAGCAGAACTAATTCTTCTCTGGTGTTCCTTATTCATTGTCCAGCTTTCACATGCATATGTTGTTGTTGTTGTTGTTAAGTGCCATCAAGTCAGTTCCGACCCATAGAGACCCTGTACAGAGTTTCAGAGGGTGTAAATCCTTACGGGAGTAGAAAGCCTCATCTTTCTCCTGCGGAGCGGCTGGCAGTTTTGAACTGCTGACCTTGTTTGCAGCCCGATTCGTAACCACTACACAACCAGAGCTCCTTATGAGGTGACTGAAAATACCATGGCTTGAGGCAGGCACACCTTAATCCTCAAAGTGACATCCTTACTCTTTAACACTTTAAAGAAGCCTTTTGCATCACATTTGCCTAATGCAATACATTGTTTAATATCCTGATTGCTGTTCCATAAACATTGATTATGAAACAAGTAAAATGAAATTTTTAACAATCTTTTCTATATTTATCATGATGTTGTTTACTGGTCCAGTTGTAAAGATTTTTGTTTTCTTTACATTGAGTTGTAATCCACACTGAAGTCTGTGTTCTTTGATCTTCAGCTTCAAGCTCTCTTCACTTTCAGCAAACAAAGTTGTATCATCTGCATATTGCAGGCTGTAACTAACAACCTTCCTCTAATCCTGATACCTCATTCATCTTCATATAATACAATTTCTCAGATGATTTGCTCAGCACGCAGATTGAATAAGTATGGTGAAAGAATACAACCCTGACACACATCTTTCCTGATTTTAAATCTTGTTGTCTTCTGAAGACTGCCTCTTGTTGTAGGTGTAGGTTTCGCATGAGCACAATTAAGTGCTCGGGAATTTCCATTCCTCCCGGTGCTATCTATAATTGGTTATGATTTTCACACAGTCTAATATCTTTGCATAGTCAATAAAACACAAGTAAACATTTTCTGGTATTTCCTGCTTTCAGCCAAGATCCATCTGACATCAGCAATAATATCCCTTGTTCCATGTCGTCTTCTGAATCCTGTATGAATTTCCGGCAGCTCCCTGCCAATGTACTGCGGCAACTGTTTTTACATTCTCTTCAGCAAAAATTTTAACTTGCACGTGATATTTCTTCTTTTGAGGCTTTCTGTGCTGTTCAACATTTTGCCCATAGAATCCTTTAATATAGCAAGTTCTGGGACACAGAACTAACTAGCATCAGATCAAATCCGTTCCCTAGGTACCCACAGAAGCATTTTGCTAAAGTCTGCCATCACACTCTTTTCCTTCTGCCATGTGTCAAATTCTCTATGTCCCTGTTTCTCAAACTTGATCGGAATTGCTCAAATTTTACTGTGCATCAGACTCATTTGGGTAATTTGCTAAAATGCAGATTCCCTGGGCTCAATCCCAGAATACCCAGGGGGAAAGAAACCCACATTTTAACACTCGCACTCCAGGAGGGAGTAGAGTAGCGCCTCTCTTTGGGAAACACTGATCTGAATAATCAGCAGAGCCCTAGTACCCCTCCAACCCAAGCTCCTAACACCTAGCTGTTCTGGCACAGTGACGTCAAATCATTACGTGTCGATAACAACAGTTATTATGATGGAATATTTACCCTATGTTAGGTATTATTCTAAGCACTAAGCTCATCTTGGAGTCCTGGTGTGGTGCTGCAGATAATGCGCTGGACCTTACGTCAGATTGAAAGGCAAGGTTGGTGGTTCAAACCCACCAGCCACTCCTCGAAAACCTTATACAGGGTTGCTAAGGGTTGGCTGGAACCCACTCGAAGACACTTAACAACAAGAAGGTTATCTAATCCTTGCAACAGCCCCATAACATCAGATCAAATATTCAAGTATTAGTCACATTTTATACATGAGGAAATTAAGGAAGAATTTCATCCCGGAGCCCTGGTTAAGCAGTCGCTAAACAAAAGGTCACTTCAAACCCACCCAGCAGCCCCAATGGCGAAAAACCTGACAATCTATTCCCATAAAGACTGTTGCTAAATGCTGTTGAATTGATTCCAACTCACAGAGACCCAGTGTACAGTTTCTGAGGAGTGACTGGTGGGTTTGAACTGCCAACTTTGAAGTTATCAGTCTAGCACCATACCAGGACTTGTTGGCTTGAACCGTTGATCTTGCAATTAGCAGTCTAGTACTTATCCTACAGCGCCACACCATGAGTACAGCCTAGGAAGTACGATGGGGCATTTCTACTCTCTCACATGGGGTCACTATGAGTCAGAAATGACTCAACAGCACTTCATGACAACCTCAACAACATGGTCACTCAACCAGGAAGCAGCACGTTCAGGGTTTTAACCCAGACAATCTGCCTGTAGCATCCATGCTCTTAACCCCTACTACACACAAATAACACATGTAGTATACATTTTTGGCTAGAAGCAGAACCCCTTTGTGCACTACTATTCTAAGCAAGCTATTAGCATTATATATGTCATTGTTGTTAAGTGCCGTCGAGTCGGTTATATATATGGATGCATTATTTACATGGGTGTGTTATTTACAAAACATACAGTATGCGCAAGAGAGAAATGGCTGGATAAAGGATGAATGGATGGAAGAGAGATGAATGATGGATGGACCTTAGATAATATATGCTATTCTCCAGTGAAAGGGAGCAGTAAGGTGAGTTTCAGCTCTTGGTTGACTGAGTGGGGGGCTGCACCAACAACCTGAATATCACGGATTCTCTAGACCCTGTGACCATTCCATACCTGGAACAACTTGGACATTTTGCAGTCAAGTCTATTTCAGATAGAGAAGGTCTATGGTAAAGTGGATTATTGTTCCCAATTTGATCCTTGTTTTAGAATTATACAGCCATGTGGTTTTGTAGTACTACTCCTAAAAGAGGTATTGGGTTTGGCCATGAGATTTGCATCTGCCAAATATTCTCAAACATATTCTGTCAGATATTCTCAAACATGATATGAGTGGAGGCTTTAAATGTGTTTGTGTGATTTGAGTGTTCTGCCATCAGTCAGAAGTACTTCTAATCCCAGAAGAACGAGTGACCGAAACTCACACATTAACACTCACACTCCAGGAGATACTAGTATAGGGCACAGAGAGATCGGTATCCAAAGTAGGCATCCAAGTGAACCCACCGATGAAGATGGAGCAAAAGAAATACTGTAGTAACAAACCACTGAGATTTGGAGGTTGTTTGATAAGCAGCAGGGATTCTAATCCAAGGCCATTTTGAGATGCTCCTGTTGGGTCCTCAGCAAGTGGGGGGGGGGCACATAAATAATGGGTAGAGGACAGAGGGCAAGGACTTAACTCACCGGTCCTTGAAGAAGAAGATCTCCCCACGGATCTGAGCGATGCCATCAAAGACAATGTCCTGTTTGCAAATCTCGGGAGTGACGGGTCCCAGTGTGGGGGTGGGGCCAGTTCCAGTGCCAGCATCAGTGTCCGGAGAGCCCCCTGGGGAAGAACATTTACTCTTAGAATCTCCTCACCAAGCTGAGCCCCCAAAGCGGCCCACTCAACCTGCTAAGGACCGGGAGAACCCACAGTCTGGGTGTAAGTGTAGGTAAGACAGGAAAAAGACCGGGGAGAGGAGAGTGAAGAGAAATCAGAATGTCACAGTGCTTAGCACTTCACAAACCACTCTTCACAGACCTTTCCCGAACCAGTCTTCTCCTTCCAGGATCCTCATCATTCCCAGTTTACACATGGGAAACCTGGGACCCAGAGAGTTGACTGGCTTGCCCTGGGACTGACAGCCAAGCCTCAGGTTCTTGAGTCCACAGGAGCACCAAGGCAGTCAGGGGGCCACTCCTGCATCTGGCACTAGAGTGTGGCAGATTGGCGAGGAGCCTTTACTCCTCATGATTCCCAGCCACATCTGGAGTTGAGGAAACGGAGTCCAGAGGGATAAAAACTCACTCAAGCTCTGGCAGCTGTAAGTGGCAGTGGAATCATGTGGACCCGGAGTTTCTTACTCCAAATCACAGGTTATTTCCCAAGTTCAGTGTTCCCAGGCTTCATCACCCAACCACCACCTTCGCTATTTTGGTCTGATCTGTCGTTGTGAAGTGCTATCGAGTGGATTCCGACTCATAGGGACCCTGTATAGGGTTTCTGAGGCTTTCAATCTTCGTGAGAGCACAAAGCCTATCTTTCTCCCATGGAGCAGCTGGAGGACGCAAACCATGGACCTTATGGTGTTTATCATACACCATTACCATTACACACACACGAGTAGGCTTCAAAAGTTCATGGGAAAATTAAATGAAAAGATAACAAAACTTTTCTTTTTGAGGCTCCCTGATCCTCGGAAACCCTATACAGGGTAGCTATGGGTCGGAACCGACTCAACGGCACTTAGCAACAACCCATTGTTGTTGTTAAGTGCCGTCGAGTCGGTTCCGACCCATAGCGACCCCGTACAGGGTTTCCGAGGGTGTAAATCCTTACGGGAGTAGAAAGCCTCATCTTTCTCCCGCGGAGCGGCTGGTAGTTTCGAACCACTGACCTTAAGGTTCGCAGCCCGATTCGTAACAACCCATAGATAGACATAAATAGACAGATATACAGATCGTCTATACTTAACAACATTATATATACATGCATACTGGTTTAAGTGCCATTGAGTCAGTTCTGACCCATAGCAATCCTATATAGGGTTTCTGAGGAGTGACTGGTGAGTTTGAACTGCCAACCTTGCAGTCCAGTGCATTAATGGGTATATATAATTTGGATTTCCAGTGTGGTGCTGTGGATCAGCACTGACCTGATCAGCAGTTCTAACTCACCAGCTGCTCCTTGGAAACCCTATACAGGGTCATTATGAGTCGGCACTGACACGACAACATGTAACAACAAACATATATATATAAGTTACTTTTTAAACTCTGCTTTATAAGCATTGTCGCTTTAAGTGCTGCTGAGCAAGTTGTGACTCATAGCAAACCCTATACAGGGTTCCCAAGGAGCAGTTGGTGGGTTTGATCTGCCAACCTTGCAGTTAGCAGTCCCGTGCTTATCCTACAATGCCACACCATGAGCCCGTAAGAAGCATTGTTGTTGTTGTTGAGTACCGTGGAGTCGGTTCCGACTCACAGTGACCCTGCACAGGGTTTTCCAGGCTATAAATCTTTACGGGAGCAGAAAGCCTCATCTTTCTCCCGCGGAACCACTGGTAGTTTCGAACTGCCGACCTTGAGATTAGCAGCCCGATTCGTAACCACTACGCTACCAGAGTGGGATTCAAGGCAGTAGCTGTATTGATCCTATTGCTCATTAAACTAAAAGCACCGTAGTGAAAACTACAAACTTTACTCATGTATTATTAAAGTCACCTATATGATCCATGGCGGCCTTCTATACTCTGGGAAATCCTGCCTTGTAACTTACTAACTTTCCTGCATCATGTTGTTGTTGTTAGGTGCTGTCAAGTCCATTACGACTCACACGAGCAACTGTACAACAGACCCAGATTCTGCCCAGTCCTGTGCCATCCTCACAACTGTTGCTACGTTTGAACCCATCCATGGTGCTGCCGCTGTACAAATCCATCTCATTAGGGGTCCTGGATTATAACCCAGCTAAACTCCTTAAACCTGTGTGCCCTGTCACCTTTCCGAGTTTACACTTCTAGGAAACAGACACCCCTTTCTGCCCTGCATGCCTCTCAAAGTGACTCTGAAACCGAGAAGCACACAGATTCAAATAGGAGCCTTGTTTGGAAAGGAAAGAGACTCCCCAAGGAACACTTCAAGTATTGCTGACTCCCCTTCCTCATTCAGACCTCCAGCTCTAGTCTCCTTCGGTCCTAGATCTGGCTAGTTTCCATGCCCTAGGCCTCGACCCATGGTCTCCTAAACCAGCCCCCACAGACATCCCCAGGCTGTGGTTTACCATAGAGATCTTGAATGCCCTTGATGTCATCGTGGGACAGGCGGAAGTTCTTGGTGTAGGTGTATATGGGGGCCATCAGGGCTCCGGGGTCCTCCGAGTGCTCCAGCCCCATTGCGTGGCCAAACTCATGGGCTGCCACGAGGAACAGACTGTACCCTGGGGGCCATAGGGAGTGGGGAGTAGAAAGACAAGGAAAGAGGTGAGAGCAATCTAGACCTGACCTTTGAGCATCAGCAAGGTGGGGCGGAGAGCCCCAAGGGGACCATGATGTTTTCCTGTCTCAAGAAGTCTAGGATTATTAGACTCTGACTGGCTAGTACATTCAAGTAGGGCCAGCCAAAGTCCCCTTGACCCTTTCAGGTGGGCTACTACAAAGGAGAAATGCTCTGCTTACTCTCACTGGTTACAATTGAGCTTCCTGCATTGAAGTTCTGTGCATGGTTATGGGAAATTTGGCATCAATTAGGGGTAATGATTACATCACGTGATTCATGGAACTTATTATTACTAAGATGTGCCCTTGAAAACTTAAGAATTTGCAAATGCTGTATTATATATTTAAAACCACAACAAAAGGTGAGCTTCCTGATGTTTTGAGTTTTTCTATTAAGACTAGGGACAAAGCCTGCTACTTAGAGCCCCAAAGAGAGAAGAGAGTAAAGCTGGTCCCTCAGGGCCACCGTTCAGGCTGCAGGTAAAACAGTGAAAACTCTGCTCACTTATCAGAGTGCTTGCCCAGACTCAGCCCCAGACAGCACACAGATGGACATCACCCCTGCCACAGGCTTTCGAGCCACCAATTGTTCAGGTAGGTAGAGAATCTCACACCCTGGCTCGCAGGCCAGAGCAATGCAGGTAAAGTCAAGATCTGCCTTAGTGTGACACTCGATGACGGGGTCACAGAAAGATGGTTTGCTCAGCCTGTCAGTTAACATTCTGTAAGTTCTAGCTTACTTCCAGAAAAAGAATAAAAGCCTCACTGAAGAGAAGCTCATTGAATTCTGGCAGGATGGGCCCATGAAGTCAGAATGAATGGCCCCGAGCGCTGAGCTCCCTACCACCATGGCACAGGACACAGTTGGGTCACTAGCTGTGTCCTGGTCACTCTGGCCTAGAGGGCAGAGACCTGTCCTAGCTGCTGTGTCCCCAGCAGCCAGCATTAGTGAGGACTGCAGCTGGGGCCAGGAGAGGGCTCTGAGAGCTCTTCAGTGGGACCTTTCCACCTCCAGGGTAGGCTTGCGGCAAGGCTGAGACCACCTTTTCTCCCCTTCCTTCTGCCAGAGGGACTGCCCACTCAGGTGTCTCTTCATCAGAGTGGGCGTGTCTCCTGAGTGACCCTTGGCTTCTGTGCCCAGAATGCAGACATTTTGGGGATAGAAATCACCCTATCTACAAACATGGTAGAGGAGGAAGGGAGCCTTGTCCTTAGAAAGAATAGGATTCCTTCAAGAGCACGCCAGGGATGGACGGAGTGAGGCCCAAGCAGGCAACCTGTCTCCATCTGGGATGGACCTCAGTCAGGAAGTGTGGGTGGCATGTCTCTGTACCCTGGTCTGGGCAGAAGCCCCACTTGCGGTCATCGTCGTAGTTCCCGGTGGTCGAGCACCACATCTTCCCGTCACTGCGGCCCGCGCTGGTACAGCTCTCGTGCTTGTTGCCCAGGAAAGTGAAGGGGAAGATACAGGGGGCACCTTCTGAGTTCCCGCCAACAGTGGACATGGCTGTGGGGGTAGAGTTATGGGTCAGGAGACAGTGAGGGCTCGGAGGCCACCACTGGACCCTAACAAGGACATGATGTAACATATCACACATACTGAGTGCTCACTTAGTCCCAGGAAGGTCTCCTCTACACCAAAACAGCCCCAAGTTAGCCCGTTTCAGGGATGGGGAAACCAGTGCTTGGAGAGATGACAAAACTTCCTTAAGGAGACACTGCTAGCAAGTATCCAGACTGGGATTCAAACCCAGGCAGTCAGATTCCAGAATTATAATTAACCTCCCAGGATTGGGGATCTGGCTGGAGTCTGAGACAAAGGGTTCAGACAGAACTAATGATGTCAACCTGCTCCTCTAGACTGTGGGCTGCCTTAGCAGGGGTCTGCGTTCCACCCACATCCATGTAAATAAGGCTGGAGAACATGGGATGCCCTCAGAGCAAAACAGATGCTGAAAGATAGAAAGCTAGGAACTAGGACAAAGGAAGGGGAAGGGATGGGAGATGAATGATGCTCAGGGGGGCTGTGGTCAGCAGAAGGTCCCAGGCCTGACACCCAGGTATTTCCAGCTGATTCTGTTGTTCTGACTCCAGTCTCCATGTCGATCCAGCTAAGCAGCTGATAAGTACCCTGTGCCAGGATAAGGAGAATGTTTTCTCAGGCACACCCACCGGTCTCGGGACAGAAGCCATACTTCTTGTCACGGTCGTAGTCCTCCGTGGTACCGCACCAGCGGTAACCATCGGTGCGCCCTTCAGTGGTGCAGCTGTCGTAGGATGTCCCCTGGAAGCGGAACGGGAACTTGCAGGGTTGTCCGTCTGAGTTTCCGCCCATGGTTAACAGGGCTAGGCGGGGAGAGAAGGAAAAATGTGAGAGACAGCAGGGCTACCTACAGAGGTCGGGGGAGTGTTGTTAAAATAGTAAACAGGCTTTATACTGCTTAGTAAATCCCTGGTTGTTACAAGTGGTTTGTGCTGGACTACTAACCAATAGGCTGAGTGAATACACCCAGAAAGTCAGAGAGACAAGGTCTGGCAATCTGCTTCTCTAAGACTATGGTCTCCGAAAACCCCAGATTGTATGGTCACCGAAAACACCAGACTGTGCAGTCCCTTGAAACACAAGGAGCTGCCACGAGTCACAATCGACTCTGATGTATCAGGTGGGGGCCAGCCCAAACTTCCCACAAGACCCTCTGGATCCAGAAATGGTTAATTTCTGAGCCTACAGCAGGGGGTCTCAAGGACCCAACCCCAGTCCTAATACATCATACACAGTTGGGAGGACGGAAGGAGTCTCCTCTGGATAAGGAAGCTGAGGCTTTGAAAAAGCGGGTCTGAAGCTTCTCATGGTGTTTACTAGAAGAACTTGATAAGGCTTGTAACTGAAACTGTCAAAACAGAAAACAAAAAGCTAAATCAAGCCTGTGGCCATGAGGCAATTCCAACTCGTGGCGACCCTGTGTGCTACAGAGGAGAACTGTGCTCCACGGGGTTTTCGCGGTTGTAAGCATGATGAATGCAGACTCCCAGACCTTTCTTCAGCAGTGCTGCTACGTGGGTTTAAACGCCAACCTTCTGATTAGCAGTTGACAACAAACCACGTACGCCGCACAGGGCACCTAACTGATACTACAAAGCATACTAATTTTAATCTCTCTTGCTCCTTCATGCTCTGTCTCCCATACACACACACACACACAGAGCAAAATCACCATCTCCTTCCAACCACAGGGACTTTCCCAATGGCCTTTCTGCTGTGGTCCCTGCAGGAGGGAGGGAAGGAGAAGAGGGGGAGGAGAGAGAGGTGGGGAGGAGAGAAGGAAGAAGATGAAGACAAAGCAGAAGGGGGAGAGAGCGGCCTTGTTGGAAACCCTTTAATACACACTTCAAGCCCTCACTCTGACTTCCCCGAGGCTGGTGTCCTGACTAGAGAGTGAGGGGGTACGGATGGATTCCGACTCTGGGTTCTTCCCCATCCCCACTCCTTTATCCACCCTAAAGCTACAAAATGGTGTGTTTCTGGAATTGCCAACGAACAAAACCACAAGTACGTAACAAGGACCATCTGTGCAGAGCGACGCCAGAGGTGACCTCACCATAGCCAGGACAGAGCCCAGCCCTGGGACTCAGGGTCCCCCCATTCTTACTGCTCCCCTTTATCCATGGGGAGACACAAAACTGACCACATGACTCAGTGGCCTTGGCACCCGGAGTAAGGGAAGGCAAGATGTTAATGTTGACTGAGTCCAGCTCCCACCTCCAGCTGGCTTTTGACCACGTGAAAAGTCCATCCCCTCCTCAGATCCTGCCCCAAGTGAAAATGGTGCAAAGCAAACACTGACTCGGCAGTCAGGAGGGGCTGAGTAACAGGCACCCCGGCCCCAAACACGTGCTTGTTGTACGCACTTGCGTCTGGCTAACGTTCAGTGTAGGGACAGATTTTTCCCAACTTATGAATTACAGCTGTTTCCACTCTGTTATCAAAGCAGCCTGTTCCCATCGGAGGGGCTGACTTGTGGGAGGGTTAACCCTACTTGAAAATGCAAGACACAACGAATATCATGGTTTTAAAACATCACGACTTATTAAGGGAACTGAAGCTCTTAATACACAGTTTGTTGTCTGTTACCAACAAGTAATTTCTGTCTCATGGCAACCCCATGTGTTCAGAGTACAACTTCTCTGTGGGGTTTTCAAGGCTGGGATCTTTTGGAAGCAGACATTCACAGCTTGTTTCTGAAACTTCTCTGGGTGGATGTGAACCACTAACTTTTGGTTAATAGGTCAGTGCTTAACCATTTGCACCACCCAAGAACTCCATAACACAAGGCTTTGCTTTGATAATAAAAGTGTAAAGAGGTGCACTGTTAACTGGCTATTTGGTTCCTTCCTTTTGTTACGATAGTTGGCACTCAGCGTTCACAGAGATTCACATATAGGTAAAATTACACCCAGTGATTGTGCCCCAAAAGCATGTGCTGAAATTCCAACCCCTGTACCTATGAATGATCCTGTTTGGCATTAAAAGTTTTCTTATGTTGAGAAGCCCTGGTATTACAGTATGTTAAGCACTGGATTGGCAGCTACAAGACCAGTGGTTCAAACCCACCGGGAGAAAAATGAGGCTGCCTGCTCCTATAAAGATTTATAGTCTGGGAATCTCTATGCAGTTCTACTGGGACAATACTACTGGGTCAGTAGGAGCCAGAATCGAATCAGACAGCAATGGGTTTGGATTTGTTGGCTTTATGTTAATGAGATCATACTGGGAGTAGGGTGGATCCTAAGCCTAATCCCTTCTGTGTGGTGTCAGGAAAAGAATGGGACAGACACAGATGTGCACACAGAGGAAAGACAGACAGCATGGGAAGACCCATCTACAAGCAAAGGAGCCCCAAAGCCTGCCAGAAGACATCAGAAGGTAGGAGAAAGGCCGACAGGATGGATCAACACCCCTGAGACCCTGATTTGAAGATTTAGCTTCCGGTACTGCAACAACAACAACAATTGTAAGGAGCTCTGGTAGCGTAGTGATGACCAGTTAGGCTGCTAATCTCAAGGTCAGCAGTACAAAACTACCGGCTGTTCCGTGGGAGAAAGATGAGGTTTTCCGTTCCTGTAAAGATTTACGGCCTCAGAAATACTATGCAATGTCGCGATGAGTTGGAACCGACTCTAGTCTACACCACTGCCGCCACCATCACTGTGAGACTATAAATACATGTTCTTTGAAGATACCCATTTGTGGAGACATGAGGTAGTTAATACATAACACATAGACTGAAGTGTCTCTATGGTAGGAAAGAAAGAAGTACTTGCGAAAATATTTTGGATTTTCTCCCATTTCCTTCAAATTTTCTGCGCTTTCAATCTCTAGAATCTTCAAATAAGATGACTTGAGAAGTATGAAGTTCGGCATACTAACTTGTTATGATTTATACTATGAAGTGTGCTAAGGGTATTTTAAAAAATGATCAAGTGTGTAGGATCAACACCCTTATCCCTTTTTCAAACTTTCCTCTCACAAGGTCTCAAAATTTTCTAGTGAGCAATGAAACACACACACACATAGAGTGAAGGCTACTGGCTTGACAAAAACAGAGAGATATAGACATCTAGATAGAATGGAGTGACAGAAAAGACAGAGACCAAGAGAGGCAGATGACAAAGCCCCACACCAGACACACATACACACATATGTGCAGATGCACACACCTTAGCAGTCAGCAGCCACAGAAGTGGCTGTAATTCCCCAGGTCCTGACTCCCAGTCTCCCCACTAGGGTTCTGATTCATCTCCAAACTTCTCAAGTCCATGAGCCCTGAATCCTGGTTGGTGTGTACACAGCGCTTCTTAAGACAACCATGAGCATTTGAAGAACTCAAGTTCATTTGAGGAGCTCTGGTGGAACAATGGTTAAAGCACTTGACTGCTAACAGAAAAATCAATGGTTGGAACCCACCAGCTGCTCCGTTAGAGAAAGGTGTGGCCACCTGCTTCCCCAAAGAGTAACAACCTTGGAAACTAACCAGAAAGTCAGTCATCTGCTTCCAGAAAAAGAAATGATCTTTGGAACCCTATGGGCAGTTCTAGTCTGTCTCTAGCTTCCCTGTGACTTGGCTTAGATTTGATGTCAATGGATTTTGGTTTGGGTAGGTTCACGCTACAGTATTCATAGGTTAGAAAACCAATCAGCACATCAAATCTGTGAGACTTAAAACAAGTGGCTGACTGAATGAAAATACCAAGTAAATGACACACACCTGGGAAGATGGGTCCTGAAGGAAGGAAGCTGGGGGACACTGGGTGGTCCCAGGCCTGACGCTTACCTTCGTGAGGGCAGAAGCCGTATTTGCCGTCCTTATCGAAGTTGTAGGTGGTGGAACACCAGAGGAAGCCATCACTGCGGCCGGTGTCGGTGCAGCTGGTGTACTCCTTCCCATTGAACAGGAACGGGAACTTGCAGTACTCCCCGTCAGCATTCCCATACTTCACACGGACCACTGAGGGGCAACAGAGGGTGGAGGGCGAGCGCTACAGAGGCCGGAGGGCATACCTCTCTGGGCCTTTCTTCAGAGACCAGTGTTCTGACTGCTCAAGTGGGAGACCCTTTCGGTCTCTCTTACTCCATTGAGCTTGCCAGAGAAGCTAACCCTTGTTTCTAGGTGACAGGGAGGCATGCAGGGGACTGCATAGGATGTGGGGCGTACAGATGGTGATTTTCTCACCTTGTCCTTCTCCCAAGGTCCACAGTTCATCATCATCAAAGTGGGAGTCGCCCCCAACTCCAGGTCCTGGGGCAAAGGCATGCGCCAGGAGTCCGTCCTTGCCATCAAAGGGGTACCCATCTCCATGCTCTGCAACACAGACGGGATCTCAGCATCCACACCCCATCCACGGCTGGAGCCCTTAGCACACCTAGCACATTGCCCGGACTCCTGGAGTTATCCAACCCCGGCAACACTTATTACCAATCTATGGTCTACACCACTCGTTAAGTCTACACAAACCCCCGTATCAATACCACTGACCTTCACTGTGTACAACTACCACCAACATGCACTTCACTGACCACACACCAAACCAGCCACACCGGGGTATCCACACTCATGACTCCCTTGTCTCCAGTGTTTACACTATCGACCTTCATGTCTACACCACCCTCCTACCTTCAGGTCATACCACCACCGACATCCACAACTCCAACTCCATCCTGACCACTTTGCCACCAAGGTCAACACCACACCCACACGTCGACACTGTTCCCTGTGCCCGAGCCATACACCCTCTGTCCTGATTTGTGTCTGAACTACTCGCCTTCATGTCTACACCACCACCAATGATCCGAATACCAACCCACTTATTCTCACCCTCATGGACACAGTTCCTTGGTGTCTGCCAAGGGCACCTTCTACAATGGCAGAAATGTTCTTTATGCTATCCAGTCTAATAGCCTCCAGCCTCATGAGACTACTGAACATTTGAAATGTGGCTAATGTGACTGAGGGACTGCATTTTAAAGTTTAGTTCGCTGTTCGCTGTGGTGAACTTAAATTTAACCTTAGCCATATGTGCCGAATGGCTACCATGATGGCCTTACTTCAGGTGTGAACACCCCCCAATTACAAGGCTCTCCAGCATGTGCTGTGTGTTTTTCTGCCCACACTTGCAATCTCTGTGCAACTCCTTTCAGTACCTACACCTTCTTCTCTCTAATCCAAGCTATTCTCTGTATCCCCATGCCGCTAATACTTACCCCAACGGCCAAAGTTAATCATGATGTCAGCTTCTCCATCGTGGATTCGAGAAAAGCGCAGTGGGGTCACGTCACTCCAGACCTGGAAGGCTCGAGCAAAGGCACTATCCACCGTTTCGGGGTCCAAATCAGGCGTGTAGCCAATGATCCTGGGGGTGGCAGAAAGGTGTGAGAAAGTCTGTGTGTGTGGGGGGGTATGCGTGCACTGAACGAGGCTGTGTGTACGTGTGCGTGTGTGTCTGAATGTGTGCTCGCATATGAGCACGTACAAGTGCGTGTATGTGAGTGTGTTGCAAGTAGACATGTGCAGCATTCACTCTGAAAACAGCCCTCCCAGAATGCCTTGCAGTACCACGGAGTTCCAGACCAGCCAGCATGCTCAGGTCCTCACATACAGCATTACAGGACACAGGGCAGAAATCCCTCCTTTCAAATCCTGCACCAGCCACACACAAAAAAGCTCTCAGGCTAGGATAGTCCCCCAAACCCAATAAGCAACCAATCATCCTATTTCCTTTGCTTCCACTCCAGTGACCTCATGTAACATTAATAATAACTATGACTAACCATTATGACATTCTTGCCATATGCCAGACACTCTGCAAAGCCTTTTACATATATGATTTGGCTTCAGTAGAACAATTCTTAACCCCCACATGGAAGACCCGTGTTCATTTCCCGGCCAGTACACAGCCAGCACCCATGTGTTAGTGGAGACTTGCATGTTATTATGGTGCTGAACGGGTCTCAATGGAGCGTACAGATTAGATGGACTAAGAAATCTACTTCTAAAAGTCAAGTCATTGAATACCCTGTGGAGCACAACAATCCATTCCGCAACCAGTCATGTGGATGGTGCAGAACTGGGTAGCATTTCTTTTAGTTCTATGTGGGGCCAGCATGAATGAGTCCCCATTTAGTACTGGACAGGCAAGAACTGACAGGTCAGTCACCCAATGGCTCATAGCTGGAAGGATGAAGCTCAAGTCACGGTCTGTCTGAATCCAGCTCTGTATGCAAACTCAGTAAGATGCCAAGTTCTGTCAGAAGATAACCTCATGGGTCCCCAGAGTGGAGAAAAGGTGAGACGCCTGCCCCCGCCCCCCATCCTGCCCTGACACCTGTATGAGATCTGGTTTTTGTCCCACTTGGGCTTGCGGGGGAAGAAGTTGTAGTTGGCCACATCGGGGTTGCCGCAGCGTGGCTTCCGCATGGTCTCAATGGTGCGCTGGTCCAGGTCACCTGTCTGGGGCAGTCCAAAGAACTTCTGCATCTTTTTCAGGGTGTCCTTCAGCACAAACAGGTTGCAGCTCTTCTTGGGGCAGCCGTAGAAGGTGTTCAGGTATTGCTGGGAAATGAGAGTAGCACCAAGATAAGCAGACACGTTAGAGTGGCATGGTACTGACCAGTCCTTTAGCCCAGACAGGAGATGCCAGGGGTCTGGGTTCCAGAACCAGCTCTGACACCCACTAGCTGAGTGACGGAGCAACTACATGTTGGGGGCTTACGCCAGGCACTGAGGTCAGCACTGGTTCACATGCATCTCTGATGTATTACTACCACACCATCATATGGAGGAAGAAACTAAAGCACAGAAAGATGTTAAGAAATGTACCCAAGATAACACAGCTCACATAGTTCTGTGATGTCTTATTACCACCCCCATCATATAGAGGAAGAAACTAAAGCACAGAGATGTTAAGAAATGTGCCTAAGATAACACAGCTCAGACACATCTACGGTGCACTGTTACCACCCCATCATACGAAGGAAGAAACTAAACCACAGAGATGTTAAGAAATGTGCCTAAGATAACATAGCTCAGACACATCTACGGTGCACTGTTACCACCCCATCATACGAAGGAAGAAACTAAAGCACAGAGATGTTAAGAAATGTGCCTAAGATAACACAGCTCACAAATATCTGAGCTGGACTTGGGTCCAATCAATCTGCTCTCAGAGCCCATGTTTAGTCAGTGATTGTCAATCATCCTGTTTTACCTCCATCATCTCATTTAATCTGGATTATTTTCCTCCTTTTACCCACAAAGGACACTCAAAAAGTTATGTACACACACAGCCTAGCAGCAGACAGATCTGCCATATCCAAAAAGAAAATGGTCCTGCCCTTTGGGGACTGAGGCCAAAGTCAAAAATGCCCTGGCAGAGGTCAGAGACCAACCACTCATTTACTTATTCCAAAAATGCTTTCTGCTGTGTGACAAGCCCTGTGCTACTGCTGAGGATAAATGGGCGAGCCAAGCAGCCAATACTTGCTGATGAAGATGACAGAGCACAGCCTTTGGTATCAACTGCATCTCAATGTAAAGAAAACAAAAATCCTCACCACTGAACCAATAAACAGCATTCTTAACCAACGGAGAAAAGATTGAAGTTGTCAAGGACTTCATTCTTCTTGGATCAACTATCAACACTCGTGGCAGCAGTAGTCAAGAGACCAGACGATGTATTATTGCATTGGGCAAATCTGCTGCACAGGAACTTTTTAAAGTGTTGAAGAGCAAAGATGTCAGCTTGAGGACTAAGGTGCGCCTGACCCAGGCCATTGTATTTTCATATGCATGCAAAAGCTGGACAGTGAATAAGGAAGACCGTAGAAGTATTGATGCTCTTGAGTTATGGTGTTAGAGGAGAATATTGAAAGTGCCATGGGATGCCAAAAGAACCAAAAGATCTGTGTTGGAAGAAGTGCAGCCAGAATGCTTCTTGGAGGCCATGATGGCTAAACTTCGTCTCTCATACTTTGGACATATTGTCAGGAAAGACCAGTTGCTGGAGAAGGATACCATGTTTGGTAAGGTGGAGGGAGGGTCAGAGGAAAAGAGGAAGACCCCCAACAAGATGGACTTGCCAAATGGCAGCATCGATGGCCTCAAGCGTGGCAACAATAGTGAGGTTGGCCCAGGTCCAGGCAGAATTTTGTTCTGTTGTGCATAGAGTCGCTATGGGTAAGTACTGACTCGACACCAAAGGCAGGCACCATTTCTGGCCTCCCAGGTCCCAATTCTACACAGGATGGCTGACATGGATCACAAATAAATCCCAAATTAAACACATGCTAAGTGTTTCATTGGGAAGGTGTAAGGGTCAGTGGGCCTTATGAAAACTGCCCTGACCTTGTTTGGGGAGTTCTTAGGGAAGGCTCCCCTGAACTCTTGAGGGAAAATATCTGGAGAATTTATACTAACAAGATGAAGGGAGGGAGGTCTGAATACTAGTAATAATGGCTAACACTTTAGGGTGCCTTTCTAAGTGCTTAATGTCACCTTTTCTTTAATGCAAAGATAGGCACCATTGTTATTACATTTTGCAATGTAGACCCTGAATCAGAAAAGTCAAATCACTTGCCCAAGATCACTAGGCTGGTTGGCTGGTTGGTTGGTACACACTCAGATTTGAAGTCAGGTAGTCTAATTTTGAGCCCATGTTCTTACACAACCCACTGCACCGACTAGATGTCCACAGACTCTACGGGGTACAAGGATCCACACAAGTTTGTCATTGCTCCAAAGCTTCCTTCTCTTCAAGCTCATCCAAGAGGCACATCATTCGTAGAAACAGTTCCAAGTCCTTGAAAAGGGCCCTGAATGGCATAAATGATTTGTGCTTAACGACTAACAAGCTCCCCAGCTGTCCCTCGGAAAACCTACACAGGGTCGCTATGAGTCGGAACCAACTCTATGGCACTTAAAAACAACAACACTAACAGAAAAGCTGATTGTTTGAAACCATCCTCAAGAAAGGTCTGGCCATCTGCTTCCAGAAAACCCTCGGGGGGTACAGTTCTGTTGTGTAACACACGACTCCACCGCAAGACGTTTTAGTTTTAAGACGATATGAAGGTGTCCCTACCCATCTATTCACAGGGCAGAGGCTCTGATGCTGGAAAAGGTGTCATATCCTGAGAAGGACTTCCCAGAGTGACCAGACAGCTTCGGGGTTCTGTCCTGGGCAGGTGGAGATAAGTCTGTATGGTTGTTGTGGTTAGGTGCTCTCGGTCAAATGAAACAGTGCCCAGTCCTGCCTCACAACTGTTCTGTTTAAGTCCAGTATTGCTGCTACCATGGCTATTCATCTCCTTGAGTGTCTTCCTCTTTTTCACTGACCAAGCATGTCGCTCTTCTTCAGGAACTGTTGCTACTGTCAAGTCGATCCTGATGCACACTGACACTGTGTAGCGTTTCCAAGGAGCTGCTGGTGGCTTTGAATCACCAACCTTGTGGTTAGCAGTCCAGTGCTTATCCAACAGTGCCACACCAGGACTCCTTTTCCGGGGCCAATTTCTCCTAATAACATATCCCAATTACATGCCATCCTTACTTCTAAGGAACATTCAAGCTGTGCTTGTTCCAAGTTTGTTCTTCTGGTTTTAGTATTCTTACCCAACACTGTAATTCAAATGCATCAGTGTTTCTCGGGTCTTCTTTATCACCATCCAGCTTTCAAATGCATTTGACGTGACATTCACTTCAGTGCTCAAAGTGACATCTTTCCTTCTAATACTTTAAAGATGACTTCTGCAGGAGATTTTCCCAATGCACTATCTCATCATTTGATTTTTATTTTTTTAATTTTTATTGTGAATTGAGTGATAGCTTACTTGGGAGAACATCAGTTTTACACCATTGTTTCAATGCAATGACTACAATCTCTTCCATGCATCATCATTCAAAAGTACTTGCTTCCATTCCCCGTTTTTTTTTTTTTTTTTTGGGGGGGGGATGTACACAGAAACACTCAGTAATGTATAATAACTCAAACAACCAAAGGGCACATTCTGTAAGCCTGCCTCCTGGCTGCCGGCTCTCAGTCTCTCTCTTTCCTAAGTCTAGAGTCCTCAGCTGCTCTCTCTCTCCATGTCTGTCTCCAGTGGCATTTGATTTCTTGACAGCTGCTCCCATGAGCATTGATTATGGATCCATTAAAATGAAATCCTTGACAACTTCAATTTCCCCCCCAATTATCATGATGTTGTTCATTGGGCCAATTGTGAGGACTTCTGTTTTCTGTAACCTAAGGCTGGTTTTGTTGTTGGTGGTGGTTTTTTATCTTCATCAGCAAATGTTTCAAGGTCTCTTCACTTTCGGCAAGTAAAGTTGTGTCATGTGCATATCACAGATTTTTAATTGGCTCTCCTTCAATCCTGATGCCATATTCTTCATAAAATCCAGCTTCTCATATTATTTGCGTTGCATACAGATTGAACAAGTATGGTGAAAGGATACACCCCCAAACCACACCATGTATGATTTTAAACCTTGTTCTGTTCTGATGATGACTACATGGACTATGTACAGGTTCTGCATGGGCACATTTAAGTATTCTGGAATTTCCATTCTTTGAAAATTATCCATCGTTTGTCATAGTTGAAAGCCTTTGCATAGTTAATGAAGTAAGCATCTTTCTGGTATTCTCTGCTTTCATCCAAGATCCATTTGATCTTAGCAATGATATCCCTATATCCTCCTATGCCTGCCCCGCCATCTCAGTTCTTTCCTTGGGTCCTCAGACCCTTCGAATAAGTTCCCAAGGAGAAATTCCAGGAAACTTTCCCAGAGCCCCAACCTTTAATCCTTCTAACTTGTCCCACGAATCTGGTTTGAATTTCTGGCAGCTCCCTTTGGATGTACTGCTGCAACCATTTTTGAATTATCTTCAGCAAAACTTCACTGTGTGACATTAGTGATACTATGTAATTATTTGTATATTCTTTAGGATCACATTTCTGGAATGGGCACAAATATAGATTTCTTCAGGTGGGCTGGATGGAAGGGACAAGACTTCTAAGGCTGTTAAGGAAATGAGACAGACATCCTGTAATCTGGAAGGAACACCTTTAGGGGTCCCGGGTGGAGACGTTTACAGGATGAGGGGGCAACGTCCTTCAACTGGCCCCGCCCCTGTCGGCCTAAGTAATGCTGCCTCCAGGGCGCAGCACGAAAGTCAGGCGCGTGCTCGCAAAAAATCATCTGAACCGCTGCTTGGAGGCCCTCCAGAAGGGAGGGCTCACTGGCCGCTCACCGACCCTAACAAGAATCAGTCCGCCCCCGCCCCACGCGCAAGAGCCCTCCTACGTTTGTCCCGCCCTCCCAGTTCTTTCCTTGGGTCTTCAAACCCTTTGGAGAAGTTTCCAAGGAGAAGTTCGAGGAAACTTTCCGAGCCTCTGAAAAGCCCAACTCTTGGCTTTTCCAGCTAACTTGTCCCTGGAGCCACGGGAAAAAGATGGTTCTTCCCCTTCCCTCCGGTCACAATGATTTACCAAATGGTCCCCTTGAGCTGTTGTTATTCAAGCCCCCCTCCAGGTGTGCAGCAAAGGTTCCTAGATGTTCGCCAAGCCCCGCTTGGCCCACAGCACAGATCTTCAGGTTTGCCAAAGTTACCCCCTCCCGAAGTGCCGAAAGAGGTTAAAAATCTCCCGTTTTTCAAAGACCCCTTTAGCTGTTTGCCAAAGACCTATCAAGACGCTTAGCCAACCCCCCTGATGTGTCCAAAAGTTGTTTACCAAGAGCAAGTGCTTCGGATGCCTGACAGTATTTGCAAAAAGGGCCCCCTATACAGCAGTTTACCAAAGAGCTGCCGCCTCTAGTTTCTCGCCTTCCCCCCCACCCCCACTTCGGGGTCGTTAACAGTGTCATTGTTTAGCAAAGTCCTCCTCCACTTACCAAAGCCCCACTCCCCCGTAACTGCAAGAGATTCTTCCATCAGTTCTCCAAAGAACCCCTAAACTGTTTACCGAAGTTGCTCTCCTTGCTGTGTGCCCCTCAACCACCGTCTCCAAAGTTTGTCTAAACGTGACTGGTTGTAACTCACCACAGCTAACTCTTTGTCGGTTTTGGGGGCGACGTCGCCGGGAAACTTGATGATAGGCGACGGCGGTGCAGCGGCGCGGCCCAACAGGCAGCCGAAGACGCAGAGCACCCGCAGGGCATTGGCGAGGGTGCCGCGGGCCCCTCGCGCCTCCATCATTGCGCTCCCGGGCCCGCGCGTCTCCCAGGGATCGCCGCCTAGCTGGCGCCTGCTCTGCGGCGCAAAGCTGCGCTCGGAGGGTGCACTCGGCTTGGTCGACTTCCCAAGACCGGGATCAGCAGCTCAAGGTCGGCCCACGTCTCCTGGCCCTCCACCGCAGCCGCCGGCTCCCGAAGGTCCAGCCAAGCCCTTTGTATGTTTAAAGCCACAGATGCGCTGCCTCCAACCACCGCCGGAGGAAGTCTGGATACAGCGGAAACTAAGGAGGGAGGCCGCCAGATGTAGCCGGCTGGAATGGGAGGTCTCTGGCAGCGCGTGGCGAGGGAGGGGAGGGGGAGCTTTCGGGTCCGCCCCTCCCCGCCTCTTCCCTCTCCCCCACCCCCCGCCCCACTTGTCTTTCTACTTTTTTTTTTCCCCCTCCTCTTTTCCCTACTGGTTACCCTGGCCTCTGAGTCCACCTTCTGCAGCGATTGGGGGATGGGGGTGAGGGCGCGTGCTTGTTCTCCTCGTGACCCTCGCTGCAGAGAAACATCTGGACCGTTTGGGGCCGACCGCTCTAGACCCTTGACGTGCGGAGGTTGGAAAGCAGCGGTTCTTGGAGGGAAGGCCGCAATCAAGACACCTTCTTTACTCCCGGGAGGTCAGGGATGGGGAGGGATGATCAGAAACGGATGATGAGAGACGCCCGCCTAACTGAAAGATGATCAGAGACCAAAGTTGAGATGTTAAGAGGACAGAGATGGAAAAAGCCAAAGGTGGAGACAAAGTGGAGGGCCCCAGCTTGCTTCCTCCCATTCCTCCCTCTCCTTACTCCCTCTCTTTCTTGTCTCCTTCCCTCTCCTTCGTCACCCTTCCCATTCCTTCCTCTTCTTTCCTTCCTAAAGCATTTTAAACATTTACTGGCCTCCAGAACAGTGGTAGATGCAAGATGTGCGTTGGGCTTGGGGGAGCACAGCCGACTTGGCCCCTGTCCCAGAGGAGTGCCGCTTCCCCATTAAGTGAGGGGCAACCCATCAGGCTTGTATCTAAACTAGCAGTCAGGGAGGGCTTCCTGGAAGAATTGACTTCTGAGAATAGGAGAGAGTATCCAGGTGGGGAGAGGGTATGTTTCAGGCACGAGGAGTCTTGGTCAATAATGTGTAAGCACTCAACTGCTAACTGATAGGTCAGTGTTTCTATTAGCAACCCAGATCTTGCTCAGCGAGGCTGAAGGATAAGAACAAAGATGGGGTGTGAAAGGAAATCTTTACTTTGGTTGATCAAGCAAGGAGCAAGACCAGACCATGGTCCCCAAGACAAACTCATGAACAAAGGAGCTTTTTAAAAATATACTTGACTGTGAGTGGGTTTATTATATGAGGGGGCTTCAAAATGTTTCTGGAAAAAATTCATGATCCCTTAATTTCATTCATTCTTTCTTTTGTTTTAACTTTTTATTGGGAATTGAGTGAAGGGGGTTGCAATCATACACTGTACTTCATTACAATGATTGCAATCCCCTCCACATACCATCAGTTAACAGTATTTACTTCTATTCACGTTAATTCTACCTTCCCCTGTGGTTTCCACTACCTTCACCTTTCCTCCTTCTTGCTGAATATCTGCCCTGTCACCCATGTTGACATGTGTCTACCCTCTAGCCAGTGAATAATTTTCCCTCCCCTACACCCATAACCATCATAAATTCTTTCTTTCTTCCTTCCTTCCTTTTCTTACATACTTACTTTCTTACATACGTTTTGTTTCATTTAATTTTCAGTTTTATATATAGATACCAGCAAGTAAATTGGGGTGGGGGTGGGAATGGGATTAAGAATATGTAACAGGTGACGAGTGTGCACTGGAATAGTGGGCGGATTCTTGGCCAGGAAGTTGGATAATGGGTTTGGGTATGCTTCAGGCATAGTCTACATAGCCCTAGCTCATGGTGATCTCCTTCACAACAGCCTCCACAGGGTTTCTACAGGCTGATTTTTAGAAGTGGATTGCCAGGGTTTTCTTCCTAGCCCATCTTAGTCTAGAAGCTCTGCTGAAGCTTGTTCATGAAAACCTCTGACAGGCGTGGCAGCTGTACATGAGCTGCATTTGCCAGGGATCAAATCTGAGGCTTCCTCATGGAGGATAAGAATTCTGCTTGTGAACCACCCACCATAGCCTGCTCAGGGACAGTCCAGTCATTGCTGTGTGCCATCAAGTCAGTTCTCACTCATAACGACCCTACTGGACAGAATATAACTTTTCCATAATGTTTCCAAGATGGTAACGTTTCCTGCTATGGCACTGTGGGTTAATGCAAAGTCGGTTTGAATCTCAACATCAGTGGTTCAAACTCACTAATTACTCCTTGGAAACCCTGTTCAGAGTCACTGTGGGCCTGAACCAACTCGAAGGCACTTAACAACAATCTTTACCAAAGCTGCGTGCCACATTTTTTTGGAGGGGCTAGTGGAGTTGAACCACCAACGTTTTGGATAGCAGCCAGCAATAGTTAACCACTGTGCCACTTGGGTTCTTTGAGGCCTTGAGATGAAAGACAGAAGCAAAACTAGAGAAGGAAGTTTTTCCACCACAAGTGCTGGGGTGGCTGGTGGTCAACACAGCTGGGAAGGGAAGAGACAGGACAGAGGGATCAGCAGGGACCAGCTTGAGGAACAAGGACGTGGGATTAAAAGGGTCAGTAGTCCTTGGAGATGGTGGTGATGAGTCTGGCCTTTATCTAAAGGGCCGGAAAAACTTCCACAGCTTGAGTCTCTGTGGTTTCAGACAAGTACAGGCTTGTCTGGCGGGCGGCTGCTGCTGCCCTTCTAGCAGATAGTCTGCAAGGAGCCCCCTGGGAGGGAGCTGAGTTCATCCCTCTGACCCATGAGAAACCTTGGCTGATGAGGGGAGGGTAAGCCTGAGGTCAGTGGGATGGGGGGATTGCCTTCTGGCCCAGCCTCATTTGGCTCCCTCCATGTCCTGCAGAGAGGCCTAAGAGCCAAGTTGGAGAGTGCAGAGCTGGGAATGAAAACGGAAAAAGTTGTCTCACTTAAAGCAGAGGTTGCAAGCTCGTGGCCTGTGGGCTGAAACCAGCCTAACAAGCATTTAGAGACTTGGGAAACATCATATAAATTTCTGACTTTCTGGGTTTTTGAAAAAAAACTTCCCTAAGATCTGGCAATAGTGGGTGTCATTTTCCATATGGCAGCAGTTTGCGGACACTAAGGCGTGGCTGATCCGGTTAGATGGGGCGTGGACTTGGGTTTGCCACAATCCTCACCACTCTCTTTTGCCTTACATGTGACCCACTTCACTCAGTTGTGCTCATTTACATTGCTTGCCTGGTTTTCCTAATGGGTGGTGGTGGTGGTGGTTATGTGCTGTGGAGTTGGTTCCGACTCATAGCGACCCTGTACAGGGTTTCCAAGGCTGTAAACCTTTATGGGAGCAGAAAGCTTCATCTTTCTCCCGCAGAACAGCTGGTAGTTTCGAACTGCTGACCTTGTAGTTTGCAGCCTGATTCATAACCACTATGCTCTGGTAGCGTAGTGGTTACGAATTGGGCTGCGAACCTTAAGGTCAGCGGTTCGAAACTACCAGCCGCTCCGCGGGACAAAGATGAGGCTTTCTACTCCCGTAAAGATTTACACCCTCGGAAACCCTGTACGGGGTCGCTATGGGTCGGACCCGACTCGATGGCACTTAACAACAACAACAACAACATGTTACCAGAGCTCCTTGGTTTTCCCTTTGTAAAATTCTGGGATCTGAACAGCACAGCTATGGAGTACCCAGAAACAGCACCCAGTGGGAGAAAGAAGCCTTTGTGCCAGGAGCAAGGCAGAGCCCATGTTCCTGGAGAGCTCACATATCTGGTGGTGATGGACTTGAAACTGAGCAATGAGACTCTTCAGAGCCTTGGCGCCCTCTGCTTTCTCTTCCTTGCCATGGTGCCCCTGGGAACTGCATGTTCTTATGGCAGAGGCACAAAAGGAAAGCAAGCAGACCCACTTTCTAAGTGAAAACCGAACTTGTACGACAGCAACTTTTAGCCTATCCTAAAACAGCTGTCAGGAGCCCTGGTGCAAACTGAAAGGTTCGTGGTTCACATCCATCCAGAGGTGTCTCAGAAGAAAAGCCTGGTGATAAAACCCAGTGATACTCTGGGTTGGCCATGAGTTAGGGATGACACAACAGCAACTGGTTTGTGTTTTATTAATACAGAAGTGAAAGGACTAGGACATTCATGCAGCAAATCTTTCATGAGTGTTGCTGCAGGTGCTGGGAACAGCAGCAGGAAGCTAAGGAGTTTGTATTGGTGAAGAAGGAAAACATCAGTCTGAGACATACACTGAAAGATGGGGATTTGGGAGAAGTGCTAGGCATTCCGGTGTGGTGCTGTAGAATAATCAATGAACTGCTAACCCCAAGGTTGGCGGTGCAAACCCACCAGCCATTCCTCAGAAACCCTATATGGGTTGTTATGAGTTGGAACCAATTTGACGGCACGTAACAACAACAACAATTAGCCATCTGTCATTTTTACTTTCCCAAGACCCTTCCCTACAGATTTTTGCTTGCTGCCCTGAAAATTTTCTTTGGGGAACCATCCTTGCCCACATGTCCATGTGGTGCAACGGATGTGACCCCAAACTTGGCTTTTTGGCAGTCATGTGACAACCCCTCCCGCCTCCCCAAATATCAGGTGTAATCCCCCAAGCTAAGTGATGGTGGAAAGAAGGGCTTGAGTCAATTGTTGGTAAGTGCAGTTGAGTCGGTTCCAACTTAGAGCGACCCTGTATAGGGTTTCTGAGGCTTTTAATCTTTGAGGGAGCAGAAAATCTCATCTTTCTCTCTCAGAAAGGCTGGTGGGCTCGCAGTGTGGACTTTGTGGTTCACAGTCCAGGGTCAATTAGAGTCAATGAAACTTAGTCCTGGGACTTTTTCTGCAGGTGATTGGGATGCAACCTACACTTTCAGCTGTCCCTGAATTTGGTGAGGTATAAGGATGAAGGCATTTT